CATTGTCATAGGGCAACATGTGTAGTAACTGTTAAATGAGAAACTATTTTGTTCTGTAAGCCTTCATCTTAAGTGAGAATAGCAGCACAACTGGAAGAGAGCAGTCCTTGTCTCTAAACTGTGCATGTAGAAATTTTTGAAATGGTGTATCTTTGGCTATGTGTACTTTCACCAAAAAAAAAAGGTTGAGAAGTTAGAGGGCTGACATGTTGTGGGGTTGTTAACCAATGTCACAAAGCAATATGTGTACTACTGTTTCATGAGAAACTATTTGTTCTGTAAGCCTTCACCTGAAGTACAATTTAAAAAAAAATACTATAGGCTTTTCTTTTCTTAATCCTCAGGTCTATTGAGTCATATTTTTCAAATTTAAAAAACAAACCTTTACACACTTCTCCTGAATATCATTTCTCTGAGAAGCATGTTTGATTAGCGGCTTTTCAGCCTCCATTCCAAATTCTTCATTTTTCAGTTTACTAAGGTGGTGGTCTGAAATCCAGTCCATGAACATAGCTAAAAGCTCGTAAACTTGTGCATTAAGTGGCACCTAGAAAATCAAAATTAATCAAACATTTATTTCACTTCATAACCTCATAAAACTTCAAAGGCAACCCCCAAATTTTATCAATGATTATGGAACAATTTACCCAAGCACTTAACCAAAACATGTATTTAAGAACACACCTTCTCCAAACAAACTAAAGACACTCCAAAGCAAACACACCAAATTAATACTGAAAACATGATAAATTCTAGCTGAGTGAAGGGGAGAAAACGCATCACAATAAGGAAACTGAAAGAATTGCACCTTATTACCAAAATAAAAAGAATTTTCATAAGAGCTCTTAATCCAAGTTTAATAACACAGAAAACTAAGAAAAGTAAAAATGGCCTTAACTCAAGAACATGAACCATCTATAACTAAAAGATTTTCACAAATTAAAAGTTTTCAAGAGCTAACGAATTTCTGCTTATGGTACTTCATATTTTCTTCTTCCCACAAAGGTTGTTACTCTGATTTTCTTTACATTATAACATTCTAGAAACTAGATATGATTTTTTTTTTCTTTCTAGAAATCCTGTTCTCTGAGAGTCTACCAAAATGGTGGAAAAAGAATAAAAACAAAATGTCTCAAATCATTGAAAAATTTAATTAGATTGATTTTAGTATTCTTTCAAAACACATCTTTGGCCAATGTAATTCAGTATTTATCACACATTTACCTTAAGCAGAGAACTATGCTATTAATTCATTTTTTAAAATCTGAGAAGGCAGAGACATATAAAAGCAGATTAATAAAAAGGCAGCATTAAGCATACTGTAATCCACAAAAACAGAATCAGGTGGTCGAAAACACAAAGACAAATAGTAGAGTTAACACATTACTCTGAGTAAGAGTAACATTTAACCTTCTCAATTTTCTTCCAATAGTTCTTAAACTAACTGCCTTTAGATAAAAACTTCAATCATCTTGAGTACCTGAGTATAAAATCTCTACTTTTTCTAATTTACTTTAAAAGAACTGGAGATTTTTATAAAAATTATTAAAGGCCACAATGAGTTACCACTACACACCCAATGGGTCAAAAACTAAAAAAGTCTAAAAACACCAAATGTTGGCAATGTTGTGGAGCAACCAGAACTTTCATACATTGGTAGTAGGAATATAAAATGGTACACCCCCTTTGGAAAACAGTTTCGCAGTTTCTTAAAAAGTTAAACATGCATCTATCTACCTTATGACCCAGAAATTCTAGTCCTGGTTATATACCCAAGAGGAATGAAAACATGCCCACAAAAAGCCACGTACATGAGTAGTCTCAGCAGCTTTATTTATAATAGGCAAAAACTTAAAATAGTCCAGGTGTCTATCAGCAGAAGAAGGGACCAAGTATGAGTAACACAAAAAGAACAAAACTACTGATACGCTCAACAACATTATGCCGAGCAAAAAAAACAATAAACACCAACAAGTACAGATTACACAGTTCCACTGACTGAAGTTCTAAACTCGGCAAAACTCATCATGGTGATAAAAACCAGGTCAACCATTGCTTCTGACAGAAAAAACGATCAGGAAGGGGCACAGGAGAACTTTTTAGGGTGATGGAAATGTTCTATATCTTGACAGGATGTAGGTCACGGGGAGTACGCATTTGTCAAAACTGATCAAAAAACTGTACACATGAGGATTTGTGCATTGTTTTACTTTATGTAACATATACCTCGATTTTTAAAAATTCTTAGAAAAAAGAAAATGGAGCCCATTCAGGGATGGATTGCAGTCCTGGTAGAAAAACAACATTCAATGCCTTGGAGTCTCAAAACACAATGAATAATAAAAGTGTTACTAACCTTAAGTTGCTGTGATTTCTGTCATTGCTACTATCCCTGAAGCACTGCTTAAATATTCTGGTTTTGCAAATAAAATTACATTTGAAATATTCTAGAGATATTTCTCTGCAAAGAAATTGTTATGGTGAATCTTTTCGTAAGTGAATGAAAGAAAAAAAGATTAAAGAGCAAGAGAAATTTTCCTGGCTTCCTGTTTAAGAAATTTTCAGTCATATCATACCTTACAAGTTTTCGAAATTGGTATTTTTTCTTGTTTTAAACTTTTCATTTCATGAGCAGAGTGGGAATTTCCTTTCAATCTCTGTATTGTCATAAACTCATACTTCCTCTGCAAAAGTGCATACCCATGAATTAAAGGACAATTATTTTAAAGGCAAGCAAATTCAAAAAGCAACCATTTTAAAATTCACTTGTATCTCAAGAAAATGGCAAGCAGCTTACCTGTAAATTATCTAAACGAGCTTGAACTCTTTTAGCCTGAATCTCCATCTTCCTGTTTTCTTCACTTACTTCATTTAACTAGTATAGAAAAAGTTATATATTTTAATATAAACCTTAAAATCGTACCAAGGGTTTCTCGAACAATCTACTACCTTATCTGGCCTGCATAACCAAGCAACATAACAAAACAGAGGAAGCATTGATGATTAAACCACATCCGAACTAAAATCACCACTTGTCCCTAAAACATTAATAGTATCTAAGAATGCTTACTTCATGCTATGAAAAATCTGCAAGACTCCTGATACCTTAAAAGTATACCTTTCAGTGGGAAAATTTTTTAAGTAAACTTTTTATTGAATGTATACACAGAAAAGTGAACAAATCATAAGTATGCAGCAAAGTTAATTATCATTGGGATTGCATTCAATATATAGATCAATTTGGAAAGAACTGGCATCTTTACAATATTGTATTTTCCCACCCATGAACATAATATATCCTTCACTTAAGTCTTCTTGATTTTCTTTTAATAATGCTTTGTAGTTTTCAGAATAGATGCTTCGTACATCTTTCTTTAGATTTATTCCTGAGTAGCTAATGTTTTTTGATGCTACTACCTGAGGATGGCACAGGACTGGGCAAGGTTTCGTTCCCTTATACATAAGGTCGCCGTGAGTCAGAGCTGGCTCTGCAGCAACCGACAACTACCACCTCGCATCTTTTGATAATGACATTTTCTATTTAACTGTTGTTGGTATATACAGAAATACAATTGATTTTTGTATACCAAACTTACAGAGAGATCCTGCTAAATTCTTTTATCAATTCTAATAGCTTGACTATGTATGCTTTTGGGTATTCTGTGCACATGTCATGAGGTTTAGTTTCAAGGTTATACTGCCTTATTTAATAAGTAGGGAAGGTTTTCCCTCTCGTTCGGTGCTTGGAGCCCTGGTGGCTCAGTAGTTAAGAGCTCGGCTGCAAACCAAAAGGTCGGCAGTAAGAATCCATCAGCCACGTCTTAGAAACCCTACAGGGAAGTTCTACTCTGTCCTACAGGGTCGCTGTGAGCTAGAATCAACTTGATGGCAACGGGTTTGTTTTTTTGATTCTCTTCTGCATTTAAGATGGGTGATATTTCATCCTTACAAGACAGCCAACAGGTTTGTTGTTTCTTCTTTGAAGGTAAAGTATCTTTTCTTTCTGGCCACTTTTAATATTTTCTCTTTATCAAAGATTTTCAGCAGTCTTACAGTGATGAATGTCTGTACGGCTTTTCCTCAGTATTTATCCTGTTTGGGGTTAACACAGTTTCTTGAATCTGTAGGTTGATATTTTTCATTAGTTTTGGAAAATTTTTGACCATTGTCTCCTCACATGTTGCTTTTGCCCCATTCTCTCTTTCCTCTCCTTCTGGAATTCCCGTACGTTAAACTTTTTAACTATGCCCCACACATCTCTTTTGTGAATTTTCCATTCGTTCTTCATTCCATACTTCAGTTTGGAGATTTAGTAACCTATCTTACAGTTCACTAATCCTTTCTTCTGCTGTGTCTCAGCGATTGTTAACCCATCTACTGAAGTTCTTAAATCCAATCAGTGTATTTTTCAGTTTTAGAATTTCAATTTAATTATTTTTTTTAATAGATTCCAACTCTCTAATGAATTTCTCAATATTTTTTTTCCTATTTTCTTAAAGATATTAATCATTATTCCAGATCACCTACAGGTATATTTCTATTGTATGATTTTGCTCTCTTCATTTTCAGCCATGTGCTCTTGTCTTTTGACGTGCTTATTAACTTTGTATGTAATGACAGGTGTTGTATATTAAAAAACAAAAACAAAACAAAACTGTAAAGACTATATCAAATACCTTTTCCAAAAAGAGTTCATTCTTTCCTCTACTAGGTATGTAAAATGGGTACTTAAAATTGGGTCACTTCAATCCGTTCAGGAACTGAGATGAGTCAAGGCTAGATTTCAGTTTTGAGAGGATTCTATCTACCTCTAATGCACCTGCTCCTGGGTACAACCCTATTGCTTTCAACTGAGAGACCGGGGTGTTCACTAGAACCTCTTCTCCCTGATGGGTCTTGAATATTAACCCTTGTCTCCCAAGCTTGATAAGACTTCCTGGGTAAAGTTTTATTACTATTATTATTAAAGCAAATTTACTTATATCTAGTACTATCATAAATTATTATGTAAGTCATAGAAATAATAAACATTTTTATTAAACAATTTTGAAGTATTTATCATTTATCTATGTCTGGAGTCACAAATCATGGCATGCAGACCAAATCTGTCCATTGCCTGTTTTTGTCAATAAAGTTTTACTGGAACATAACCATGCTCATTTGTTGACATATTGCTGATGGCTGCCATCACACTACAATGGCAGTGTTGCATAGTTGCAACAGAGACCATATGGCCCACAAAGCCTAAAATATTTACTATCTTGTCTTTTACAGAAAAAGGTTACTGACCCCTGATCTATGCTAAACAGAAGCTACCATAAAAAAGGATTCTACCCCTTGTAACCAAAGATTTTCTCCCAGCTCTTTCAGTTTGTACACAGCACTTCATAAATAAAATAACCAATAGGCTCAACCACTTAACAATTTACATATTCCAACCTAATCACCACACACTCATGCAAACACATGCAAAATCATTAAGGATTATAGAAACCTAAGAGAGAGATACGGACAACAATCCACCTATGCTAGCAATTAAAGGAGCCCTTCGCAAAAGAAGGTGCTGGATTGAGACTCTGATGGGAAAATGTAATCTCTCCAGGGATAAGTCAGGTTTCCAGAAAACAGTAAGTGAAGATGACAGTACAATTGTGGGAGGCCATAAATTCAGGAAGCCAAGAATTAGATCAACAGAGAAATACGGTACCTAGATATCACTGCCAAGCAGGGAGGTGTCAACAAGCAGAGAGTACAAAGAAAATAAGTAGCTGGCTAAGGAATCCTAGGAGGCAGGCACACTATCTCTGAGGGGAAGTTATTGCTTAAGTTATTACTTAAGGGGTACTGAATTTCTGTTTGGGGTGATAAAAACTTAGAAATGGATAGTGGTGATGGTTGTACAACACTGTGAATGTAATTAATGTCACTAAATTATACACTGAAAAATGGTTAAAATGACAAATTTTTATTATATATTTTATCACAATAAAATAGATTAAAATAAAAATATCAACTGGCAGATGGAAGTAAAAAAACTAGAGACACCTCACAAAAATGCTCCTGTTGTGCAACTTTAGTACTATGTACCCATTGCCATCGAGTCAATTCCAACTCATAGCGACTGTACAGGACAGAGCAGAACTACCTCATAGGATTTCCAAGGCTGTATGTGATCTTTATGAAATCAGACTGCCACATCTTTCTCTCTAAGAGCAGCTGGTAGATTCAAACCGCCAATCTCTTAATGAGCAGCCGAGTGCTTAACCACTGCACTACCAGGGCTTCTCTTAGTAGTAAGTACTTACCTAAATTACAGCACCTATAAGAATAATTACAGTGCAATATAACACCAGATTATACCTGCCAGACTATGAGCAATGTGAAGACTTAAATCTAGCACCAAGCCCCAGGATAAATCAGACACACTAAAAACAAATGCTAAATAAGCAGTGGCATGTAACAGCAGTTACCATGTTGTTATTGTTGTTGTTAGCTGCTTGAGGGCAACCTCCTGTACGATGGAATGAAACGCAGCCTGATCCTGCCTCACTCCCATGATCAGTTGCAGATAGGACCGTTGTGACCCAAAGGAGTTTCACTGGCTGATTTTCAGAAGTAGACTGCCAGGCCATCTCCCTATTCCATATTAGTCTGGAGGCTCCCCTGAAACCTGCTTAGCATCACAGCAATATGCAAGCCTCCACTGATAGATGGGTGGTGGCTGCACATGAGGTACACTGACCAGGAATCAAACCCGGGTCTACTGCATGGAAGGCAAGAATTCTACTACTGAACACCACTGTTACAATAGTAAGTATTAAAGCTAGAAATCAGTGCTTAAAAGGTCACTAGTCCTGAGGTTATCAAGTTTTTTTTTTCTTTTGCTTCTTTTCGATCTTGTAATGTTCTTATATTTTAAAAAGTTTCCAATTGCCAAACATCTCAGCTGGTTGCCAGAGTAAATGATGAGGAGAAGCCAAGAACTTAAAAATATTTATCTTTGGAAATACTTTATAATAAAGCTAACAGATTTAATCAATTTTTTTCTAGTCAAAATAGGTTCTAAGACTTTGACTTATAATTTATTAAATATAACATGATTCCAAAAATGTCTTGTAATATAATATATATTAAAACAGGTCTTACCTGTTTCTTTAAGCTATCATTCAATTCTTTCAATGCATCAAAAGATGACCTCAACCTCTTGCTTTCTTTAGTCCTTTCCTTAAGAACTTCGGTTAAGTGTTCAACTTCTGCTTCATGTTGCTACGAGGGAAAATAAGTCTAATCTAAAAATTAGGAAAGGATTCCACACTACTAATGCTAAAACCAAATAAAACCAAACCCACTGCCATCGAGTCAATTCTGACTCACAGCGACCATACAGAACGGCGTAGAACTGCCCCACAGGGTTTCCAAGGCTGTAAATCTTTACAGAAGCAGACTGCCACATCTTTCTTATACGGAGCAGTTGGTGGGTTTGAACCGCCAACCTCTCGGTTAGCAGCCAAGCTCTTTAGCCACTGTGCCACTAGGGCTCCTTCCTACTAATGTATCAAACATAAATTAATTAAAAATTAGAACTCCTTAACTCCCAAGAACTTTCTTCAGTGTATTTAAGCAAAGGTGACTAAAACTCCAAATAATTTATAAAAACAATGTAGTAAACCAAAGCAATAACATAACATCAAAATTATTTATGAAATACCTACTGAAACATATTATCATACAAATTAAGCAGCAATAAGTCTATTTTCTGCTTTTCCTTAGAAAAATCCACCCGTAGAAACTCACTGAAATACTTTCTATTTGACATCATGGAGTGATTAAACAATGAAGAATTTCTAATCCTCTTCAAGAGACTAGCTATTCATAGCTTTATAGATTAAAACTTAAGGTGCAAATCACCCTTGAGAAAGTAAACGAAATATTATATAGATTAAGTAAAAGAAATATTACATGTAAGACTAAGAATAATTTCTTATTCTTACAAGTAGTCAAAATATTTGAAGTCAGCTTTAATCTCAAAAAAATGTTAAATACATACTAAAATTTCTCTTACTCCTAAACTATTTGACTTTCCTTAATCAGTTTCATGCAATGATTCCAATCAATTTCTCCTCTAATCACGTTGAAATGGGATAACAGATTTTAGATTTAAAGTGTGAATACTTATAGTTTCTTCTACCTTTTACTCTCAATTTATTTATAAGGTATTGAAACAAGCACATTTCTATAGGAAATCAAGAAAATAAAATGATTTCCTACAACCAAATAATCACATAAATACCATTAAAACAAAGTAATTATCTTTATACTTAATAAGAATAGTAACACACAAATCTAAAGAAAGAAATCAAGAATAAGACCAGGATGAAGAGATCTGGGATTCTGAACCTTCTGTCGTTAGCCCTGTCAAAAAAATCCAATAATCTGAAAAAAAAAACAGCTCTATGTAATTTTATTGCGACATTAAATGATTCTTTAACATTTCACACAGTCACAAATACAGTTATTTTTTAAAGTAATTTAATATTTCAGTTGTCCTAATTTTTCCACATCTAAAAGATATTAAAAACACATAGACCTGAAGAACTGGATTGTGCCCAGCTATCACCATCGACCGTTCTGACCAAGGACACAATAGAAGGCTTCCAGGTAGAATGAGAGGAAAACATAGAACAAAACTTAAACTCATAAAAAAGACCAGATTTACTGGACTACTAGAGACTACAGGAACCCACAAGACTATTGCCCTAAAATACCCTTTTAACCTGGAACTCAAGCCACTCTTGGAGGTCACCTTTCAGTCCAGTAACAGATTGGCCTATAAACCACAGTCCTTTAAACAATCAACTATACGAGACCAAATGGTCAACATTTATCCCAAAGCAAAGATGAGAAGGCAAGGAGGGGCAGGGAAACTGGATGGATGGAAACGGGCCAGGCGGGGTGGAAATGGTCAGAGTGCTACATATTTTGGGGATTGTTACCAATGTCACAGAACAAATTGTGTATTAATTGTTGAATGGGAACCTAATTTGCTGTGTAAACTTTCACCAAAAACACAATAAAATATTTAAAAACAGCCCCATAAAACCAAATGAGGCTAATGAGGTACAGGAGTCCAGTGACAAGAGCCAGAAGGCAGAAGGGGACAAAGAAGCTGGTGATAGGAAACCCAAGGTTGAGTAAGGATATTGTTGATGTGTTGTGAGATTGTTAACCATTGTTATAGGGCAACATTTATAGTAACTGTTAAATGAGAAACTATTTTGTTCTGTAAGCCTTCATCTTAAGTGAGAATAGCAGCACAACTGGAAGAGCGCAGTCAATGTCACTGAACTGTGCATGTAGAAATTTTTGAAATGGTATATCTTTGGCTATGTATATTTTCACCAAAAAAAAGATTGAGAAGTTAGAATGTTGGTATGTTGTGGGGTTATTAACCAATGTCATAAAACAACATGTGTACTACTGTTTCATGAGAAACTATTTGTTCTGTAAGCCTTCACCTGAAGTACAATTTAAAAAAAATAAAATAAAAAATATTTAAAAACACACACACACACAGTAGGAGTTCCACTTTGGCATGACACCATAAGCCCACTATACTCTATTTCTCTTACTGATTAAAACTAAAAACTCCAGACAAAACACAAAAAAGCAACTCAGCACCTGAGGCCTGTGAAAAGTAAACAAGAGCAGGTGAACTGTGGAGACGAGTGAAAACATGGAGAGGCAACCCACAAGGGGGCGAATTCCCTGGTTTTTGTTTTGGTCTCCTGCAGCTTTGCCCTAGGGTGGGCCTCAGTCACAGAAGAATGGAGCAGGTGCTGGCTGCTACAATTCTGAAAGAATTCTGTCTTTCTGGCCAGGGAAACCAGGAAAGGGGCCCCTGTCAGCCAAAGAGTGTGGGGAGAATCTTGAAGAAAATCAAAGAGTATTGTGACGGACTGAATTGTGTCCTCACACAATATGTGCTGGAGCCCTGGTGGTGAAGTGGTTAAGAGCTCAGGCTTCTAACCAAAAGGTCAGCAGTTCAAATCCACCAGTCGCTCCTTGGAAACCCTATAGGGCAGTTCTATCCTGTCCTATAGGGTCACTATGAGTTGGAAATGACTCTATGGCACACAACAACATATCTTTGGATATTAATTCGGTTGGCAATAGGGTTTTCTTTGTTATGTTAACAAGGCCATATCGGTGTAGGTTGTGTCCTAATCACTGCTGAGTTATAAGGAACTGCACAGACAGAGACAAGGAAGCGCAAATGGTCGGGAAGGGGGTTGGGGGGAGGGGGGGAAGTAGATGCCACATGAGTATAGCCAAGGAACTGAAGAATGCCTGGCCTACAGAAGCTGAAAGAGACAATGATCTTTCTCCATAGCAGACAGAGAGAGAGGACAGCCTTCCCCTATACTCAGTGCCCTGAGTTTGGACTTCTAGCCTCCTAAACTGTGAAAAATTAAATTTCTGTTCTTTAAAGCCACCAACCTGTGGTAGTTCTTTTACAGCAGCACTAGGTAACTAAGACAAGGATTCTCTCACTCTGGTATGTTTGAATCTGAACAAAACTCAGGCTCAACCTTGAGCTCCCCAGGTACAAGACAGATCAAAAGGAGCAGAGCAAAGACGTAGAGAATCGAACTAAGTTTTAAAATACTACCCAAGTCTCAGACTAACCCCGAGTGGCAGGCACATGCATGAAAACATCCAGTGCAACACAGTAAAGACTTTGAGAGCTGAGCTAAGATTTAAACGATTGCCCAAGTCTTAGACTAACTCCTAAGTGGCACATGCACAAGACAACTCCAAAGCAACGTAACAAAGGCTTTGAAAACTCAGCGGAGATGATACTGGAACTACTGCCCAAAGACAGTGAGAAAGAACTTTTGGGTTAAACCTAAGTGAGCTGATTGCTTTAAAATAAAAATAAAAATCAGTATTCTGCAGAGGATTATAACAGGACCTATAAACTATGCAACATAATATTCAAAAGGTCTAGGATACAATTCAAAACCACTGGACATACAAAGAACCAAGTTAATGTTACTAAGTCACAAGAAAAAAGACATTCAACAGATACCAATCCCAAAATGAGCCAGATATTGGAATTATCAGATAAAGAATTTAAAGGAACTATTTTAATTATGCTCCATGAGGTAAATGCAAATACATGAAAAGACAAAAATTCTTATAAAAAAATTTTTTTTTCATTTTTAAAGTACATAATTGGAAAGTTTAGAACTTAAATATATCAGAAATTAAAAAATCATTAAATGGGCTCAATAGTAACATGGAGATAAAAGAAGAAATAGTGAACTTAAAGACAGATCAACAGAAATTATTCAATTGAAGAACAGAGAAGAAAAAGATGGGAAGAAAAAGGAACAGAGCCTCAGAGACATGTGGGACAATACCAAAAAAGTCTAACATATGAGTCACCAAAGGCACAAAAGGACAGGAGAAAGCAACTGGAGCAGAAAAAATATTTGAAGAAATACTGGCTGAAAACTTCCAAAATTTGGTGAAAGATCCAAAAAGCTCGGTAAACCCAAAACAGGATAAACTGCAAGAAAAGCACGCCAATACATCATAAACAAAGGTTTAAAAAAATCATAAAAGGATTCCACTTATGTGATATTCTAGAAAAAAACAAAACTATTGGAACATAAAATAGATTAGCGGTTGCTAGATGCTGGAGTAGGGGGGAAGGGATTACTACAAAGGGACATAAGGAAACTTCTGGGATGATGGAACCATTCTTTATCTTGACAATGATGGTGATTACATTACTGTATGCATTTATCAAAACTCACAGAACTGAACAACACACAGAGTGAATTCTACTCTATGTATATTATACATACAGTAATATGCTTCTTGATATGATGCAAAGAAGCACACTACACCGCCAACACAGTATTCTTGCCAAAGATATTTCATCTGAATATAATCCTTAGGAAATAATCAGGCAAATCCAGAATGTGAGATACTCAACAAGCCTGATGGCCTGGGCTTTTCAAGTGAGCGTTGACTGCAAATTAAATTATATTATTTAATTAACATTAATTTCTTGATACGATAATGGTGTTACAGAGAATATCCTTATCCTTATGCAATACATGATGAAATATTTGGCAGTGATGCATCATGATTTTTGCAAGTGACTTTCAAATGGTTCAGGAAAAAAAAATGGGGAGGGGGAATAAAGCAAAAGTGGCAAAAAGTTAACAACAGGTAAATTCAAGTTAAGAGGAAAAAGAGAAATTACGCTACTCTAAAATCAAATGCTATACAGTTACCTCCTTTATAATTTGAAACCTTGTAAGAACCTCTTCTTCAACACCTTTAATTTTACTCAAGGCAGTTTCATGTCTGAAAAGCAGTTGTTCTCGTTCAGCTAAAAAACGTTCTCGCTTTTGAAGTTCTTCAGCAAATTGCTGTTGCGCTGCCGTTTCACACTATCAACAGAGCAGATGTATGAGTTTTAAAACAATACATTCATAAATCCTGCAAATTATTTCTTATTGACTGTGATTATAGTTTAATTAAGTGGTGCATGGAATACATGAATACCTAAGTAAAATGTGGATTACAGTAATAGCTAGACTAGTACAGCAAGTGAATTTGCACAGAAATCCTATCTTGTTGCGAAACTTGATAATGTATGAGGTTCTACTATGATCACTCAAGAGATTTTGGGGTCCAAAATGGATCAGTTCACTACAGAGTTAATTCTCTATCCATGCTCCATTTTAACTTCATGTCTACTACTTTGCCTATACATGCCCCTCCATCAACTTATTATCTATTACCTTGGCCTGGGAGAACCTCCCCAGTCCTTGATCAATGCACTGACCACCCTCCCTGCCCCTACGCTCCACTGGTAAACACCACAGGAGAAAAATCACACAATCATGAAAAGTACTATTGTAAATTCATTCATCTCAAATCCCTACTGGGCCCTCAATGCAGGCCAGAAAGTTTTTTTATATTTTCACGGTCAGTTTGAAAGGGGCTGCGTAGAAATTTGACATTTATTGTTTACTGCCAGCAGTACAGGCCTAGCTTCCTGGGTACTGTGGTACTGTTAATGCCTAGCTTGCATAGTTCACTTTTGCATGCTCCTATGATTTTGATTTGTTTTCCTCCTATCCTCCCTCTTGCTTTCCCATGACTTTAAAGTTTAACTAAGTTTCTCTTTGAGAGGTAGAACGACCTTGGAGGGTAGCAGAACAAATTGATAACCCTCAAGGACTGGGAGTAACTCATCTGCGACGTGATAATAACGGCGCAAGATGACCTTCAAGGATTGCCAGTACGAAGTTCGACCATCTGGGAGGGGAAGAAGGCAACCACTGAAAAAAAACTATAATCTTGTCCATATAAAAACTTTCAGCCAGTCTCCAAGGGGAAGACAGGTCTTTTGGAGGAGCTCATTCCCCTCTGTCTCCTGTATATTAATATACAATAAAACACTCTTGCTGCTCACCTCACCCCTGTCTCAGTACTGGCTTCTGTGGCAGGCAGCTCAGACCTGCCATTGCGGTAACAAGTTCTCTCTCTCTCCCATTCTCCACAGTGTCTACTTCAGATCTGCTCCACTCTTTACTAACTTTGAAAACATCACTTCCCACACCAGTCTCTGTGGATAGCCTAGTCTCTGACTTTATGGGGAGAGTAGAAGACAGCAGAAGGAAACATCAACCTCCTGACCACAAGATACATACGCATTTCTCCTTCCCTCCCATCACAAGGGCAAGCTCAGCTCTCATTACCTTCTGCCTTCTGTGGCGACTGCTCTGTTGATTATCCCTCTAATTTTTAATTTCTCTTGTCCCATCTTAAATGAAATCTTTCTTGACCCTACCCACATATCTCCTCCCCTTTACAACCAAACTTCTTTAAAACGTTGTCTACATTTGCTATCTCCTCTCCCTCACTTCCGAATCACTCCACAATTCACTCTGATCTGGCATCAGCCCACATCCCTCTAATGAAATGACTTAAACCACTAAACCAGTTGCTGTCGCTGAAATTACTTACTTATTACTAAATCTGAAGTTCCCTTTTCAGCCCTTATTTTATGGAGTCTTTCAGCAGCATTTATACTATTGTCCTTTCCTTCTGACTTACAATGCTCTCTTTCATTGTTTTCCATGATACCATACTCTCCCGGTTTTCCATCTCCCTCTCTGGCCATGGCTTCTCAGTCTCTTTTGCAGATTCTGCTTCCTCTAAAATAAAATCCAGTTGCCATTGAGTTGATTCCACTCGTGGCGAACCCATGTGTGTCAGAGTAGAACTGTGCTCCACAGGGTTTTTCAATGGCTGGTTTTATTGGAAATAGGTCTCAGGCCTTTCTTCTGCCGTGCCATCGGGTGGACTCAAACCTCCAACCTTTTGGTTAGCAGCTAAGCGCATTAACCATTTGCACTACACAGGGACTCCCTGCTTCCTCTACTATCTTTTACTTATGAACGTTCCTTGAGGTCTGGGCTTAAGCCTTTTTTCTTCTCATTCTTTACATTTTCTCTGCTTGATTACATCCACTCAATGGCTTAACTTACCATGTTTAGCTACCAATCTACAATTGATCAGATCTTTCTCCCAAGCTCCAAACTCAAATCCAAACTACCTATTCAACACCTCCACCTGTGTGCTTTCAGGTAGGCCCAAATAACATGACAAAAAAGGAATTCAATTAACCATCAGGGAAATTCAAATAAATCCAAACCACAATGAGATACCATTTCATACCCAATAGGATGGCTAGAATCAAAAAGAATTTAATAACAAGTGTTGGTGAGGATGTAGAGAAACAGGAGCCCTCATAATTTGCTGGTGGTAATGTAAAATGGTGCAACCACTTTGGAAAACAGTCTGGTAGTTCCTCACAAAGTTAAACATAGAGGTACCATTTGACCAGCAATCCCACTCGTAGGTATATACCCAAGAGAAACGAAAGTATATGTCTACAAAAAAAAAAAAATCCTGTACACAAATGTTCATAGCACCATTACTCATTAACATACAAAACAAGCCAAATGTCCATGAACTGATGACTGCATAAAGAAAATGTTGTATATTCATACAATGGATACACAAAAGGAATGAAGTACTGATACATGCTATAACATGAATGAACCTTGAAAACATTATGCAAAGTGAAAACAGTCACAAAAGACCACATATTGTATGATTTCATTTATATTAAAAGTGCAGAATAGGCAAATCTACAGAGACAGGAAATAGATTAGTGGTTGCCTAGTGCAGGGGGAGTTGGAGGAAAGTAAAGAGTGACTGCTAATGAGGGGAGCGTTTCTTTTTGGGATGATGAAAATATTCTAAAATTAATTACACTGATGGCTGCATAACTGATATACTAAAAGCCACTAAACTATACACTTCAAAAAAATTTAAGTTACTTAAAAAAAACTAAATTAATCCTCTCCTCCTCCTCCTATTTTGTTCCCTATCTCAGCAAAAAGCAGTACCACTTAGACAACTGCCCAAAAACTAAACCAGCATATCGCCCTTGACTAATCCTTATTGCTTGCTTCCCATATCCAAAGAAGCTCTAAGTTCTATTGATCCCATCTCTCAAATATCTCTAGACTCCATCTATTTCTCTCTATCCTGGAGGCCTCATCCTAATCCAGGACACATCAGACCACTACCATCTCTTCACTCTCTATGCTCTCTCTAGATCTCAACTACTTTAAATAGCTTAAAATATCTATATGTAGACGACTTCTAAATTTTTATCTCCATCCTAGACCCATGTTCTGACTACCAGAATCATATATTTAACTGCTTATATAACATCTCCATTTAACTCTCAAACCCAACCCGTTCCAAACTAAAATCTTGATCTTTCTCTCTAAATCCATTCTCCCTCAAAGTTGCACAAACAAGAAATGTGGTAATCATCCTTGACACCTTACTCTCCCTATACCACATTGAATTCATTATACCAAGTGCAGCCATTTTACCTCCAAAATAAATCTCTAATCCATTGACTTCTATTCCTCTGCTACCTTCCTAGTTCAAGTTACCAATATCTCTCACCTGAACTACTGCAATAGAATCCTATCTGGTCTCCCCACTTCCACACTTGTTCCCCTCCAATTCATTTATTAAAATACACATTAGATTATGCAAATCCCTGCTTAACTAGTAAAGAATGTCTTCCTTGAGCATTATGCTGTTTTAAGATCTATCTATATGGGATCAAACTGACAACAGCAACTAGAAAGAATAGACAGGAACCTTAGAGGGCAGTGAGTTTATATTATTAATGGGGGAGAAACAACTCAGAAAAGGAGGGTGAAAATAGTCGCACAACTTGAAGAATGTAATCAATGTCACTGAACTGTACATGTAGAAACTTGAATTGGTATATGTTTTTGCTGTGTATATCCTCAACAAAAAATAAATTATTTAAAAAATGTTTAAT